AACAGTTGACGAAGAAAATGAGGATCCTCAAACAGTTGATGAAGAAAATGAGGATCCTCAAACAGTTGTCGAAGAAAATGAGGATCCCCAAACAGTTTCCAAAGAGGAGGCTGTTGAAAATTGAAAATGGTGGGATCTCTTTTCTTCTCCATTTAATGCTTATAAACTATAGAAGAGGGAATTTTTGAGGTTTGAAAACCGGGTTATCTAAATGAATTCGGTCAACAGAGGCCCACAGTAAGCCGAATTAGGAAAGGAAAAGCAAGTAATCCTTGAAGTAACGGCCATTCTTTAGCCATGCTTTACTAAACAACAGATTAGGTTTAGGGCAATGAAACCTTCGAACTCAGTTTTTTCTCGTATGCTCATAAAAAGGGAGCTCAATTCGATTCTGGTAGAAATCAGAATTTAGGGCTTTTTTCTCTTTCAACTTTTTAGCCTCAATAGAAAGTGACAACTTATTTATCTGATCCTCTTTTCACTAAGTCATTACGAAATTGCTAATTGTGGTTAAGTTTCACATTTTTTTAAAAATCTTAGTAGAGCAATACGCAACGCACAGGCCTTCCGCTGCAGGAGCAGTTTGCGTGCCTCGCAACGTTATGAATGTCGTAGTATTAATAGCATTTAGAATGTATGAGGGCATCTGCTGTGGCAGCGCGCTTAGCTTGCACATCCAGGCTTGGTGCCGCTTTGAACGGAGTGAGGCCTGTTGAGGTGTGACCAGTTAAGCGACCAGCGGCTCGAACTGGTGACTGATCGTCGCTAATAACAGCAGCAGCCTGCAGTAAAATGATGTACTGGGTAATCGTTAAGGAACAGGAGTCGAGACTTTACAACTGGAATATGTTACCATGATGCTTGTTTATCATGAAAATTTATCCAAAACCGAATGTACTTGAGAGTGATTTGAAGTGTAAGGATTACAAGATGTCCTGAGGACTCTTTTCCAGTTCTGCAAATTTCTGACCTAAACAAACGAACGAAAGAAAATATCATTGAAGCTTAATCTTTAAATTTATTACCCAGCGTCAATTTTCAGCTTTTTTTT